ACAGAACTGCACATAGTCCAGAACAGCTGATGTATAAGCCTCTAGGTCTGAGCCCTCTTTGAACACCCCCCAATCAGTGTGCTCAAAACAGTCTTGTAATGCTGAAGAAGCCTCCTTTGGCCACACCTTAACTGCTTTGGTGATTGGTTTTGTCCTGCAGATTAGAGGTTTACTATATATGCTGGGATAAGCTCCACCGAGATGTGATATGACATGCCCAGGTGTGGAGCTGCTATGGCCTTGTATGCTCCCGCAATATTGCAATAAACTTGATCCAGGATATTATTGTCCCTGGTTGGAAAGTTGATGAATCTGTAGAATCTGGGAAACACTGCTTTAAGTTCCACGCAGTTCAAGTCTCCAGCCACAATCACAGCCACTTCTGGGTTTGCATTCATCTGCCTGCTGATCAGGCAGTACAGCTCCTCCAGCATTAACTTAGCATTAGCTCGCGGTGGTATATAGGTGTCTACAATCAAGATTGAGCAAATCTCTCTCACCATTTTAAAAGGTCTACATTTCACTGCCAGATGTTTCAAGTCGGGGGAGCAGTGTGTTCCAGTGATGTTTGTAGCTGTGCACCAGAAGTTGTGGATGTACAGCGCCAGACCCCCACCTCTCTGTTTAGCAGATGCTGCAGTCCTGTCTGCTCAAAACAAGGAGCATCCCTCCAGCTCCACCGCAGTGTCCGCGATGTTGTCATCCAACCGGGTTTCAGTTATAATCGCCACACAGTTGTCCATCCTCCGTGAGACGATCCGCAGCCGATGTGTGTTTCTCAGAATCTGCCTCATTGGCCAGGTGTGTTGGACACACGAGGAATTTGACTCTCGTACATCGGCTCTCAATGTGCATTTACATATCCCTTTTCAAGCGGCAAGTAAACAGTAAATCAACATAAGGCTAGTATAACAAAATAAGCAGTATTAACAACAGTGCAAACAATGCAAAATAAGCAGTATAGACAGGCAGTTAACAATGCAGACAGACAAAGGAATGCACATTGTGAAACGAGATAAATAGGAATAAAAATAGAGTACTTAAAAGAAGAGACCTGTACACGAATCTGTATAATCTGTACAATTTATATTTACTGGTATTGCACTGAGGGTTATTGTCCAGCCATACTGTCGTGGGTCAAGTGTTAATCAAAGTGATGGCCCAGGGGAAGAAACTGCCCCTGTGCCTTGTTGTCTTGGCGCAGAGTGACCTGTAATGCGGGGAGGAGTTTGAAAAGATTAAGTCTTGGGTGTTAGGGCTTTGCAGTGATCCTCTACGCCCTCCTTTAGACCCGTGAGGTGTACAGGTCCACCATGGAGGGCAGGCTTGCACCAATGACCTTTTCTGCAGTCCTGACTGTCCGCTGGAGTCTGTTCCTGTCCTGTTTGGTTGCTGAGCCAAACCAAACAGTGATGGAGGTGCAGAGAACGGACTCGATGATTCCTCTGTGGAACTGTATCAGCAGCTCCTGGGGCAGGTTGAATTTCCTGAGCTGATGCAGGAAGTACATCCTCTGCTGTGCCTTCTTGATGATGATGCTGATGTTGGATGACCACTTCAGGTCCCGGGAGATGGTGGAGCCCAGGAACTTGTAGGACTTTACTGCTGATACAGTGCTGC